GCCGCGCCCTCGGCGCCGGCGCCCTGTGCCGCGTCTGCGCCGTTTGCGTCGCCATCCACCTCCATGCCCTCCGCGCCGCCGCGCCCGCCACCGCCACCGCCGTCGGCGTCGGCCTCGCCGTCCGACTCGCCGCCGCCCGCAGAGGCGGCGCGCCGCCTCGGGCGCTGCGCCTTGGGACCGTTGGTGCTCGCCGCGGGCTTGGGTAGCTGGCGGCAAGGTTGCAGCAGGATCAAAAATGTCAGTTTCCGTCGCATGCACGATGAAAACCCAACCAGCGAGCCCACAGCGATCGACGCAGCCTGAGTGTGCCATCCGCCCGTCAGGATTCGCTGCGTCTCGTCCCTTCACACACGCAATGCAAGCGCGCGTGCGCACGTGCTCGTGTGCGTGGCGGCCGGAGGTGATGAGCGCCCACCTCCAGGTGCGCCGCGGCCACCAGGCCGGCCACGAAGCGCTCCGCCACGCGGTATTCGTCGCTGGCCGGGTCGCGCGCCAGCAGCTCCCCGAAGCACGCGACGACCTCCGAAAGGTCTGACAGCGCGCGCGCCCGCACGATTGCAGACTTGTCGCTGCACCTGAGGGCGCGAGCGCAAAAATTCCGGATGCGGGTGTGCACACCCGAGGCCGGTGGGGTCGCGGCGGCGCGGTGCGGGGAGAAACACACGCTCAAGGCTCGTCTTGGGCAGCCAATTGGTGCGGTCGGCAACCCCTGCGGTGCGCGGCTGCATTCTTTGGTCCGTTCTCACCTGTGGAGCAGCGCGGCAAGGCACACGACGCTCCAGGGCGCCGGCACCACGTCCCGTGCCGCGCCGCGCTCCCCGGACGCATCGGCGGCGGCGCCCGCGTCCGCGGCCTGCTGGAACGTCGACTGCTGGAAGGGCTCCGGCAGGTGCATCAGCAGCTCGCGGGCCAGGCCGACGGCCAGGCAGCGCTGGCCGATCTGCGGGCGGATTGGAAAAACCAGACAGCAAGGGGCGGAGGGGGGCGCGGCGGCGGGCGTCAGGGGCCGCCCCGCGCTGCCGCCGCAACGACGCTGCAAAGGCCGGGCGAGAAGGTTCCAAAAACCGCCCGGCCCGAGCTCGCCTTGCTGCTCCTGCTGAGGTGAAACACGAAGCCCACGAACTGGTCCTGCTCCCACTGCGCCAGCAGCGGCACCATCGTCGCCGCCGCCCGGATCGCGTTGGCGCGCGGCTCGGCGCGGTCCGGGGCCTTAAGGCACACGTGGCGCGCAAGCGCGGCAACCACCTCCTGCACCTCGGGCTGGCGCCTGGGGGCGCAGGCGGAGACGGAGCAAAAGAGGAGTTCAGCTGTGCGCATCAGGCGCGTTTGCCACTCATGGAAGAGCACAATCAGCGGGCGGGACACCAGACCCTTACGCCTGCGGAGTGACGCAGCGTGTGCCTGGCGAGTTTGCTCACCCGAGCGCTTCGCATACAAACGTGCATGCCGCCGTGCGGATCGCACTCGCGTCCGCCGCGCCCTTCCTGCCGCCGCCGGCCGCCGGCGCGGCGCCGAGCATGACGTTCGACAGGCGCGGGAAGAGCGACGCCGCGGTCTCGTGGGCGCTGCCGTGGCGGGGGTTCAGCAGCGCAGCCATCGCCTCGTACGCGGCGTCGCGGATGACGCCTGCGGCAACGGAGGCACCCCACCGCAGGTGTGTTGGCGCCCACTAACGAAGCAAAGCTCGGAAAGTTGGCGGAACACATAGGGTCGTCTCAGGCTGTGACAAAGGCTCCACCTCCGCTCAAGGCCATGGCGGACGTGCCCACCTGAGGAGAGGCCCACAGCGCGCCCCGCGGCCGTCGCCTTGGCCACCCGCGAGCACGCCGCCAGCTCCGGCAGGACCTCGGCACACAGCTGGCGCACGTCCTCGCAGCTACGCACGCCCACCGACCCCAGCAGCGCCGCCAGGTTGGCCACCGCCTCGAAAGCCAGGCATACAGCCGTCTCGTCGGCCGTGTCCCTGGCTGCGCTGGCACCGCCGCCCTCCTCTTGGGAGGCCGCGTCCGCGCCCGCCGCGCCGCCCTTAGATGCGCTGGCGGCGGCGCCGCAGCAAGCATCCTTGATGCGTTGCATGAAGCCTGAGAAATTGAGGCCGTCCATCAGAAAATGGGCCTGGCAGGGTGGCATGCGCGCAGAGCACGAGGGTTGATGGATTGCAGCGATCATCCCAGCATGGCGCCGCCACAGTTGAAAGCAGGGCCTCTGCGCCCAATGAATAATGCATGCTGGTGCTCCTGACACAGGGCAACGGAGTGCTAACGCATGCGTGATGCGGGTTGGCGCGCTCTTTCAACGGATGATGTCTCACCGGGGAGCTGGGCGCGCGCAGCAGCCAGCTGTACAGCGCAGCGGCAATGTACGGCTGCGCGCCCTTGCCAAAGCGCATGAGGGCGTTGACGGTCCTGTAGAGGTGTGCGGCGAGTCAGCAGGTTGCCACAGCTGTGTATGACCAATCATGTTGTACCTGCTGCCTGGTTGGGGCAAGACATGCTTGGGACAGGGGCACCATCACAAAGTCAACGCATCACAATGATGCCCCAACCCCAAACTTTGATCACACAATTAACAGCTAGCTCAATGCCTGGCTCACTTTACAGCATCCGCCAGCACAACGCCCTCATCGCCCAGGGCCTCCCATGTTGACGGCGTTGTGTCTTTGAGCGCAGTGCGTGCCAGCGCAAGCTGCTGCAGCGTCAGCTCACACGCCCCGCAGACCTCCGCAGCCTGCCGCTGGAACTCATCCAATGATTGCGTATCTTCCAGCTGCCGTGCGTGGGCCCCGAGCCTTCTCAGGAGCTCGGCTAGCTCATTCGCCATGATCACGGTCCGCGTCAGCCGGGCCCAGCTACTCTTATTTGTTCGTTTGATATAATGCCTGTCAAGGACACGTCATCACAGGGCTCGAAGATCACCCGAAATTTGAATCTTACAAACGATCTCTTTGATGCAAGAGGTATATCAACCCCGAGCCACCTTCAACCATCTGGATACAATTGGAAGCGGTACGGATTGGCGGTGGTGGTGACCTGTTGGCTGGTCGAGCTGCAACGGCAGCAGACCACGCTGGGCACGTATAAACTGGAGCAAGCGCTGCACTGTTCCACCCGAGCCCCAAGCGAACTGTAGACCATAGTCTTTTGGCTGCGCCAAGACAACCGATACTGCATCACCACAAGATCTGCATAGCAGCGATGTTACATCATTGAGCTGACACTTCCCTCCTTCCCACAAGCATCTGCTTTGCCAAAACAGGCTGTGACGCCCCCCCCCCCCCAAAACAAGCAAGGCACATGCTGCCAAGCTGCTTGTTGCCAGGTACTGTCAGCAACATAGCAGGCACTACCACACGTTATTGTATTGCAGCTGTTGAGCATGCAGCACGCAGCACGCAGCACGCAGCACGCAGCACGCAGCAGGCCCATGTGTAGCAAGGCCATGTCGACAAATTAGGTAAGTGGTGGCACAATTAGCACTGTCTACCCAAAACAGTGATATGCGCAGCAAATGTCAAAACCAAGTGGTGCCAGGCTGGGTGTGAGGTTTGATGAAGCAGAGGTTTTCAAGGCTATGCACAAGTGCACCTAATATCATGGAAGGGCCGCGAGTGTTGTGATGACCATTATTATTCTGTCAGTCGAAATACATACGTTCCTGGTGTGCTGAGAGCGCCTCACGCTGAGTGAGGTGTCGCCACCACAGGCAACAAGCGGCCATTGAGATGCCGTCAACACCCAGCAGCCAGGGCAGCTGCGCACCACCTTCCCAGGCTCCTCACTGGATCGCGGCGTGGTCGTCGCCGTTGGTCTGGTTGAGCCGACCCTTGCCGGTCCGCAGGCGCCCGTGCGAGGCGCTGACGAGCTTGCCGATCTTGGCCAGCCCTGACCGTGGCATGTTGCGGTATATGGCTTCGTAGTTGCTGACCAGGTAGGCCTCGTGGAAGATGCCGACACCAGGGATTTGGGCGCCTGTCAACAGGGGAGTTATGTCCGTGGCCAGTGCGGCAAGGCTTGAAGTGTGAGGCAGACACACAGAGGCAGGCCGGCAAAGGCCAGCGGCGGCCTTGCGACCACGCACGGCAGCTTGGCACTTGGTATGCCGGGTGCATCGAAGCGGCTGCGTGGCGCAGTCGCCTGAGCGGATTGCTGTTTGTGTCGCTGCCCTGCATGATCAGCCACCCCAGCACTGCGCCAAGCATTTGTTGCGCTGCACGCCCACCTTTGAATCCCTTTGCCTCCACATTCCACTGTAGCCAGGGGCCGAGGTGCTTGGCCATGCGGTTGCGGGCGTAGTCTGCCAGGTGATCGTAGCTGTTTTGGGGCGGGGTGGCAAACGGCGGGGTAGGTCCACTACAAGGCAATAAGATGTGTCAAAGCAAGCACTCATACTCTGCGAGGCGGCCAAGCAAAGCGAGTGAGCAAGGACCGCAGGCCTAGGACGCTGCCCCTTGCGCCACATGCATGCAGGGGTAATGCGCTTTGCGCAGCACACCGTCATCCGCCCGGCGGTGCGCCACTCACCTGCGCCAGATCTGCACGAGGTGCGTCGGGTTTGTGCGGGCGCTGGTGTGGTTGACCAGCATGCAGCCGTACTCGGGGTGCTCGGAGAGCTCCCTGGGGGAGAACAAACAGTATTTGGTGTTGTTGAGGATGTGGTTCGGGAGGGACTGGCAGCGGCACATTGCAAAAGCAATGAAACGAGCGGGCCGCACACTGGACGCGCTGAATGCAGTCCAGTCACAGAGTGGTCCGCAGCACCCAGGCATCTTGCCAGTCCAGCTGCTTGCTCTGCAGACACAACGCGCCTCAAACGCAGGATGAGCACACAGCGACATGTCCTCAACATTGCCCACCTCTTCATTGCATCCATGGCGCGCCCCGCGCGGAAGATGGTGCCCAGCCTCCAAAGCCATGCGCCCGGCTGCAGGTAGATGCCAATGACGAAGACCACGAAATCGCCCTCTATCTCTACGCTGTACTTGCCTTGCAGGACTGTGGTGCAGCATTCACAGAGTGGCGGCATGCGGCGCCGTCACGTGTTGGAAGGGGTGGAGGGCCGGCGGCGCAGGGGATGGCCAGCTGGGAGGGGGTTGACACGGCGGTGAAGAGCGGGCAACACGGGCGCCTGTTGTTTGAGCAGGGAGGCCCTTTACTCGCGGGCTTGGCTTGGAACCACCGCCCTTGACAGTATGTAGATGATGCGCGGGTGACCACCCACTCACCGCTTGGGGGCTCGCCTCGAAGGGACAGAAGTGCCATGGCGAGTTGGTGCAGCAGAGCAGCGGCCGCCAGGCCCCAGGGGGCAGCAAGCAGCGCGAACCAGAGATTCGAAAGATACATCGTGAAGCCCCCTTCGAGTCTGTTGGCAGCTGTGCAGCGCGCACACGTACTATTGACGATTGATCTTGTCGCACAATTTCTCTTGCGATGTCGCAAATGCAAGACTTGATTATATGGTGCAGCGGTCACCTCTAGCGCTCGGCCGCTCGATCATCTACTGCTCAGCCCGCGTCCGACGACGCCCGCATCAGTCAAGCGTTTGAGCTTCAGCATAAGGGCCCTGCTGCCCCACGGGCAGAACAGAGAAGCCCTGCACGACATACGAGTGGTGTGATCAGCACCACCAGCCACCATGAGCCTAAAACCAAGCCTGGAGCACACCTGGTGCACTTTAGTTTGCCAGGGGTCAGGTGACACGGGTGCCGCAGCAAACCTGTCGTCACCATGAGGACTGTCCATTGCAGATCACCACAAGTACGCCGCCGTACAAGATCCAGAACCAGTGCACGTATCGATTCACTTTGTCATATTCCATCTATACAGATAGATACAAGGTTGCGATGCTCACGGTGAAGGGACTGAAGGCCGCGCCAACATTTGATGGGGTGAATGCGACCGGACCACGTGTATCAGTGGCAGGGGGACCCACAGACGATTCTAGGCGTCCCCGTGCGTGCACACAACTGCAAGAGCATGGGAAGATTAAGTCCAAGCAGCCGCAAACCTCAGTGCACCAGCTGTGTGCCTAGAACGCAACGGGCTGGACTTTGTCCTTGCGCACCTTCCTGGATAGAGGCTGGGGGGACCTCCCACACGTTACCGGGCAACTGGTCCCCACGCGGCCTGGCAACGTGCTCGCATTCAATCTGCTGACTCACATCTGGTACATCTCTGCAGTAGGGCGTGGGGACCGCAATGGGCCTGCAGTGGACCGCAATGGGCTTGCATGTGGTCAACCAAGTCAATAGAGCTGGATCGCAAGGACCCCAGTGGCCGCGCTAGCTCTAGCCGGGAGAGGGCTGTCGGTTATTGAATGTGCAATCTCCTTGACATCATTATCGGGGCACGGCTCTGTGGTAGAGCGCGTCGTAGGCAAAACAGCGATACCGTAGTATCAGAAGATCAAACAAAACATAACAGGGGCGCAGGCGTCATGTCAAAATGACTACATAGATTGTTCTAAATCATGTGCGTATGCCACGGCATCGCAGGCATTGTGCTGATCTAGTGACTTGCGGGTGCCACGACATTGATTGCCTTCCACACCACCACCCACTTTGTATTGAGGTCAACCACCCCGCACTGCGCCTGGCGGCTGTGCCTGGCCGCACGACGGTGACATGTCCAACGCAACCGTTGGATTGGGCTCGACACAGGCGCCGTCGCTGCCGCTGATTCTCCTGGATGGCGGCATGGGCCACCTGCTGAAAGATTGGGGTCTCCGCTTACCTGACCTGCCGCACGAGCAGCAGTTTTTGGCTGGTGTGGTGGCTAACGAGTTGAACTCGGATGCCATCAGGCGCGCCCACGCCGCCTACCTATCAGCCGGCGCAAACTGCATAACGACCAACAGTTTTGCAGCCACGCGCCACTCGCTCACCAAAATTGAGCGCGGGAATGACGCAGCCGTGCTTGTGGCGGCGGCGGCACGCAACGCGGTGGCAGCGCGGGACGGGGCGAAGGGTGCCGTGCTAGTAGCTGGCTCGCTGCCTCCCCTACAGGAGAGGTGCGGTAGTTGATTGTCGATGGCTTGCAGGGTTGCTTCAGCGCTTGATGCTGGCCTGCTTGTCCATCATCGCGTGCCCATTTTTCCTGCCGCCAATCCCCATGCATGACGCCGGCCCCTCCTGGCTTGGCTTGCCCATACAGTTACCAGACGCAGGGGCTCAACACGCCCGACGACATGCGGCGGCAGTATCGTGAGATTGCGGAGACGCTGGCCCCTTACGTTGACGTGCTGCTGGCGGAGACGTTATCAACCGCAGAGGAGGCCGCAGCTGCAGCTGAGGCAACTGCTGGTCTAGGTGCGCTGCGTCACACATTGCAGCAGGTCGGGCCGGGTGCTTCACACGCTAAGCAATGGATGGTGCACCCAGCATCCTGGGCCTCAGTCTGACACCATCATTGATCCTCAAACTCGTGCTGCAGGCAAGCCCCTCTGGGTGTCCTTCACAATTGAAGACAGCAGCCACGCGCGCCTGCGCTCTGGCCAGCCGCTGGCCGACGCCGTTTCGCCGCTGCTGGCCCACCCACACCTGGAGGCACTGCTTCTGAATTGCTGCGCCCCGGGCGCGGTCTCCGCCGCGCTGCCAGTCCTGCGAGCTGCGGCGCCAGCGCGGGTGCGGGTGGGGGCTTATGCCAACGGCTTCAAGACAACTACGACAGAGTGGCTGACGGGCGGGCAGGGGCCCAGGTTGGATGCTGACGAGGGTGATTATGACGCAGCCAGCGGCGTTGTCACAACTGAAGCGTACGCGCGGTTCGCACGCCACTGGCGGCGGGCGGGCGCGAGCATCATTGGCGGCTGCTGTGGCGTTGGGCCAGAGCACATACACGCGGTTGCAGTGGCGCTGGCGGGGACTTGATGGCGAGGCCGGCAATGCGCCTGGTGCGAGCCCTGCATGCTGCATCACTTGCCAAATTACAGATGAGACACTGGAGCAGCATGGTGATTGGTATCAATTTACACACGGAAACTCTGCTAAAGCAAGCCAGATCAACTGAATAATTTGTCATTACAAACAGAAATGCCATGGGGGATGCGATAAGCCGTGCGCAGGCATCGTCCAGCACAACGCCATGCTCAACAGCGGCTGCGGTTGCCGAAGCCGCCGCCTGGTGGACTGTCTCTGCTGCTAGGGGTGGCCGCCGGCGCATGGCAGCCAACTGCAGCAGGTTCTCAGCTGCACCCCAATGTTCTTCAAGCCGGCGGCGCCAGCTGCAGGGCCGCCACATGATTACTGCACATGCGCCGTGCAGCGGGCTGCTGACTGGGCCCGCTACAAATCGCCGCTGCACAGCAGCGCCGCCGCCTCACTTGGCCTCCAGCGCGGCGTCCAGGGCGCTGAACACCTCAGTCGCCGCACGGTTGACGGCGGCGTCGAAGTCGTCGCCGCTGGGCGCCGCCTGGGCCTGCTGCAGCGCCGCCTTTACCGCCGCACCGTCAAACTGCTCAAGCGGCGCCGCCGCGACCGCGCAGATGTCGGTGACGCTGTTGGGGTGCACGAGCGCAAAGCCGCCGCTGACGAAGAACTTCTGCACCTCAGTGCCGTCGTGCAGCTCTACCAGGCCAGGCTTCAGCTGCGCGATGATGGGCACGTGGTTGGCCTTAACGCCAAACACGCCCTCCACGCCAGGCAGCACCACCTGGTCGATCTGAGGGCCGAGCGCGCGATATCCGGGCGTGACGGACGGTCAGGCAGGGAAAGATGGGTGAGAGGGGTGCAGAAAGGTGGCGGTGCGGTGACGATGCGGCGCGTACGCTTACCCACCCGCCTGCGCACAGCTGCAACCCGATCCAACGACAGTTCCTGCACATCACTTGCCTCAGCGGCTGTCCCGTCACACATATGTTGCTTCTCAACAATTGCCTTTGCTAGCAAAGGTGTGCGCGGGCTTTGGCAAGGACATGCAGCGGCAGCGGCGCGCACCTTGCCCTCGGCAACAACGCCGTCCGGCGTGTAGAAGTTAACGGGGAACTGCTCGCCCTCCGCCGCAGAGTCCCGCGCAGCCTCCGCCCCCAAGAATGACGAGGGGAACTGGGGGAGGTTCATTGTGCTGGGCGCGATCTTGGTGAACGCCTCGGCAAACTCCTTCACCCCCGCTGGTGCTGCCTCCTCCAACCTCGCGGCGCTAGTGCTGATGCCGCGGGCCAGTGCCCCTTGCCGCAGCAGGCTGCAGGCCGCCCGCAGCATGCTTCCCGGCGATGGGCTGGGTGGGGCTTGTGTGATCTGATGATAGATGCCGTGGGCTCCTGCACTGCAAAGTCTACCTCACAGGATAACTGCTGCGAGCACGAGCTGCAGTATTCAGCTGTGGTTTCCTGGACGGTCAAGCCGATCGAGTGTCTCCGGCCGCATGCCTTCACCACAGCAAAGTGCCACTGTACAGCAGGCTTATCGCGCAATCGCACATTCACATTGGAACATCTTTGATACACAATGGCGTCGCTCACCTGCAGCCGCGCCCTTGTGGGCAAGCCTTTCCAGGCTGCTGCTGCCAGCGGGAAGCCCAGGCGCGGCCCCGCTCCCCCCCTGGCTCGTCGCGACAGCTTCATGGTTGAGGCGAGTTGCCGGCCCAATGGGCCGCCGGGACTGCCCACGGACGCGGCGAGGCAGCTTGAAGGCGGTCTTGCGTGCGGCCCCTGGCGTCGCATTCGATGGCAGACCGCGCGTCAGGGAGACAATGATTCTAGGACGATGCATATGTCCCCGCAATAGAGGTGGCGGGGCCTCCCAGGCAGCTTGCTGACGGGTGGTCGTCCTGGCCCACTGCTCCGGGTTGCAGGTGGAGATTGCCGAGGACGAGCCGGAGGATGTGGCCGTGCGCAGGTACATGAAGGCCGTGATGCAGTCGGGCGTGATCAACAAGGTGCGGACCGCATGCACCACCGGCGCGGTAGTGGCTGTCGCGCGTACGGCGGCGCGCATCTGATGTGCACAGCTGTGGTTGACTCATAGCGGTGCGCGCTCACGCTTCAGAGCGATGCGGCAAGGAGAGGCTAGCACCGCTGCCAGGGGTGCCATCTGGGTGACGCTACGCCAGCGGACGCAGTGGTGTCGATGCAGCGTCACAAATGCAGCAACACAGCTCAGCTGGGAGCTGAGTCGTGCTGCCCTTGTGGTGGCAGCTGTAGCTGCAACATCAAATTCAGCAGGATGGCATTAGCAGCAGGACGACATCAGTGGTCGCACAGCACTGGGGGGCGCCGAGCATAGTTGAGTGCCGAGTGGCGTGTGCACAGTTGTAACACAACCCGCCGCCTCACCCTGCCTGCACGCACCCTCCACGCAGCTGCGCGCCCTGAGGCGCAAGGAGACCAAGATCGAGACCTACAAGCGCAAGCTGCAGGAGCGTGCCCAGGCCCGCAGGTGCGCAATCGGAAGTCTGCTGCGCCGCCAGCAGCATGGCTTGGGCGCTCTGCGTGGGTAGTGGATCGGAAGCGTCGCCGGGCTTTCTGGTGGTATCAGAGCAGTTTGAGCAGTTGCAAGTGTCTGTAATCTGGATTGCAGCAGTGCAGGGCAGAGTGATTGACCAGCCAACGCCCCCACGTCAGCAGGCACGCGTATACCGTATGGCAGCCCTGTTCGTCTGGTGCAGCGTGCACACCACCATCTCAGGCCTACTCACCCGCCGCCTCCACCTGCTGCGCGTCCTCATGCCTCGCTGTCACCCAACCCCCACCTCCATGCGATCCCCAACAACCCAGGCTGGGCATCCAGGAGCCGACCTGGGACGAGTTCTACGGCGAGAACTCGCTCTTCGACAGCGGCGCCGCGCCCTTCGATGACTTCTTCAAGAGCCCCGATGAGGACTTTGATGTGTTCGACGTGAGGGACAATGACACTTGAGGGGGGGGGGGGACGGGGCGGGCACGCACGCTGGCCGCGCGTCGTGTTGGTTTGCTGGGGCCCACAAGGTCGCCGCTGTGCCGTTTGGCATCCCCGCCTAGCCGCAGTGCGCCGCTTGATGGCGTCTGCACCCTTCTCCCGCATCGTCGTCCCCACTGCACACGGGCGGCCGCCCTTCTCCTGGGCGGTTGCGCCACTCACTTGCCGGTGGTGACCCCCGACCAACGCATCGTCACTCCTGGTCCCCCCTCCAAACTTGTCTTGCCACCTGCGGAGCAGAACGGCAGCCTGCCCATCCTGGAGTCCCTGGAGTACCAGTCCTACGAGGGCAACACCTGGGGCTACCAGGGCGGCTACCAGCCCACCGGCGCGTACAACCAGCAGCAGCAGCAGCAGCAGCAGCAGCCCGCCGCCGGCAACTGGGCGGGGGCGCCGCAGCAGGGCGACACCTTTGACCTGAACGCCTACCAGGCGCAGCAGCAGGGCGGGTACGTCGATGAGCAGCAGCAGCAGCAGCCCAACGGCTACCAGTACTAGGCGGTTGCGCATCTCCAGAGACGCGGGCTTGAGGGCGGCCCCGCGCTAGGGCACGTCACGGCCCTGGTTGGCGGCCCAGCTTTGGGAGCCATCAATGAACGGCATGCCCGCGATGTAACGCCTAAACCTTAACGCGACTGGACTAATGCAGTCAACTCGCTGCCAGCCTGCATGTACTGGGGTCGACTGCAAATACAGAAAGCGAGCGTCCTTGCACAGTTCCACCCTGGGGAAACGTGCCTTCAGTCCTGCAGGCTGTCAGTAATTGTGTGCGCAACCTGTGGGGACGAACTAGGCAGCGTAGGCACTTCCAGACAGACACATGCTTTGCTAATTGCTGCCCTCCCATGGGGCCCAAGAGTGGCTCGCTATCGAATTCGAATTCGGTGGACGACATGACAGCGCTCGGGAGGCCGCCGTTGGGAGCAATGCAACCAGCGCACGGGAGCCAGACAGCCAGAGAGCTTTATAGCATGATCATGGTATGCCGGCTGCGCCTCCTTGCCCTGAGCAATGTACTGCACAGTCTGCCCCACTAGTCGGTCATGAAACATGGCATGTCGTCGCGGAGTGCTTGCGCTGAAATGTTCCTCTCCAGCTCCTATCAGTGGCGCTGGGGCTACGTCCTCATGGCCAGGGCGGCCGCTGTTGCGCAAGCACGTGCCTGCCGGCCGCCGCCGCTCCCAAATACGCCGAGGCAGGGGAGCCCCGTAGTACTGCGCCACCAGCGGCACCCTGTGGGACCGACGAGGCGTGTCCTGCCGCCCTCGTCAGGTAAACTGGGTGCCGCAACCCCCCAGCACATGGCGACACCAAGGGGGGCATATGACACCGCGTTCGGCGCTTCGCCGTGGCACGCCATTCGCCGGAATCCTGCAGCGAGGTCGCATGTTCTTGGGTCTACCGCCTGCTGCTGGCACAGAGGATGCTGGCAGAAACAAAAGTAGGCGGGCTGGTGCCCGAAGCGCCTTTGTTGACCGCCTGCAAGACCCAAGTCCGCCATTGGTGCCATGTCTGTGCTCCTGGATGCCACAGCGGCTGCCACCATGGCCATGTTTAAAGGTGATCGCATTGACTGAGCACACATCCCCACGCAAGGGTGCTCGGCAAGTCGGCGGCAGGGCAGTGTTCTGCATGAGCTGTGCAATCTGCTGCATGTCACAAGCCAGCTACGGTACGTAGAAGCACAAAGCATTGGATGAAAATTTAGAGAAAGAAGCGCTTGTACTATATCTACATGCGGCACAAATCCAAGATCAACCTCGCACTCGCTACCGATAGCTCTCAAGTACTGTGCGCACGGAAACTGAAACCAAGGGTAACGTCAAAAAACAGCTGGTATAAACGCAGGCAGCACTGCAGCAGCGGTGCTGCAACAGGCGGCACTTGCATTGCAGTGGCTGCTGCTTTGCTGCACCCAGCAGAGGACGTCGCCGGAGAGACTACAGGGCGAAGCACTACCTCAAAGAGGGCTGCAATCAAAACTCACCGCCCCAGCTGGTTGATTAAGCTGCACAACGGCGGAGAAGGCGGCGAGCCCCTGGCAGCCGCCCCACGCCACTAGAGCCGGCAGCCATGTCGGTCGTCGTGCGCGCCCACGAGCATGGCGCCAGCATGAAGCTGATCCAGGAGGCGCTCAAGCCCCTGACCAAAGGCTCAGCCGCGCTGGCGTTTGTGTCGGTGGGGGACATCATTGATACGGACGAAACGGACGTGTACCTGAAGTGAGCGGTTTGGGGGCCTGCCAAAAGCGCGGGCCTCAGCAAGGGTGTCGCAGGGGCCTTGATGGTGTACAGCAAAGGAGGGGCGCACGCGTGCCAGGCCCGTGGTGAGCCCAGTGACAGAGGCGAGCGTTGCGTGCAGTCGCAGGCTGACATGGCAGGGGTGTGACAGGCGTGTGCTGATGGAAGAGGCTGCGAAGCGGCCCGCGAAATGGCATCAACCCGCTGCAGCAGCTCGTGAGCACCAGCACCACACGCCAAACGCCTCTGATGCCAGCATCAGCTTTGTATGCTCAGATGCTGAGTCAGCAGGCGCTGCCGGCCCATCCTCATTCCAGCAACTCCGTCACCCCGTCACCCAGGGGCCACGGCACCCAGATCGTCGACGACAAGCTCGTGGCCACCCAGTGCGGCCTGGTGACGCGCACCGACAAGCTGATCAGTGTCAAGCCGCCCAAGGAGCGGTGAGGCGGGGCGCGGCAGGCGGGGAGAGGACCTGCGGAACCGGCGTGCAGAGTGTGGCGCGCAGCGCTAGGGCAAGCGCGAAGCGCGAATTCATTTCAGGGTGGGAGAGGGGGGGATGATTGCGGTCCTCCCAGCCGCGACCGCCTGCAGTGGTTGCGGCGGCCCGCTTGCAGGGGGAACGCGTGTGGCCACCGCCTATTCTGGCCCCAAGACGCGCCGCCGGCGCGCCGCGCCCGGCGCCCGCCCCCTCACCTCAACGCCCGCAGCTATGTCGCTCGGTCAGGGGACGTCGTCGTGGGCCGGGTCGTGGAGGTGGGCCCCGCACTCGCAATGGCAGAGGAGGGGTGCAGGGGCGTGGGGGTGCCGGCGTGAGCTGCAATTCTGGAGACGTTCAGCCGCTGCCAGGCCTTGAAAGTGCGTCCGGCTGCGGCCCAGCGGGGTGGCTGCCGTCACCCCTGCCTGGCCGGCCGCAGACCGCTGGCGG